TAGAGCTATTTTAGAAAATGATACGACTTTGAATGATACGGCAATAAATACTCAGACAATACCATGTCTAAAAGTGGCGCATAAGACATCTTTAAATAGTCTTTAAGACGTCTTTAAGAAATCTTATGATATGATATCCAAAAGACGTCTTAAAGACATCTTAAGGATGTCTCATGTCCAATTTTAGACGTGGCGTTGCCTAGATATGGAAAGATTCGGATTACTGGGTTCTTCCCTTGCTGTCATCTTATGACGTGTTGATAGACCACGTACGAAATGTATTTTAATAGAAACCTTTTTATGACGCGTCCGTACCATTTCTTCCGTGAGTTGTATTTCATCGACCTGATCCGACCTGAGTCCCTCTCTTCGCGTAATTCCATACAGCGAAATCTGGCAAAAGGAAGTCTGCCTCCTGGGAGGCGTCAAATCTCTTCATTCCGAATTCCCTTTTTCGGTTAACCGAGGTGAAATGTGTGCGCATGTGTGTGTGTGTGTGTGTGCGTGTGCGTGTATGAGCGAATGGTCTCGCGTATTGAATTATTACGACCTTCTATCCAACGTCAACGGGGAATGCAAAAGGGAAAGTGTAAAAGCGCGATATCAAAGATAACACTCGCCTCATCGATCGCGCCGAATCACGCACTTCAACGCTTTTGTCTCTTGATTAATCATTATAATCTATTTTTACGATTTATAATTTTGTTTTTCTGATTTGTTACGGAATGAATATTATTATGTTTGTTTCTTATCAATCATTATATCGTGTAATTTTGTAGAAACGAGAAGAAAAGCGTGGATGGATAAATCTCCGTGTCTTCCATTTGTCAATTAAAATATAAATCCAATACACATGTGATGCTACACAGATGTAATGTGATGCTACAATGTATGACGGCAAAGGGGATTATTTTCATTATTACGTTATTTTCCACGCATTTTCATTAAAATTAACGAGTTACATACCGAATCGTGCAATAATAATACGAGGAATTTAACATGGAGCAAGAGCGAGTATAAAATCGGCTCGAAAATTTATTCTTTTCATTTACGAGACTTTTGCAAGCACACGGTTGCTTTAATAAATTTCGTGAAGTAGGATGCGAAATAGAACGCAAAAGAAACAACTGGTTGTTCGGAATATATATAAATGATATGCAAATCCATGCTACATCCTGCTATTTTCTAAATTTGCTTCAGTTCAGTCGTTCCTTCTCTCCCTCTTGTTCGCGGTTTCCGTCGACATGACTATACTTATTCTTTGTATGATGCATTTGTATCTTTAGATCATATTTTTTTTTTTTTTTACTAACGTTAAAAATGCATATCCAATCGGGAAAAATGCGATCAAGATTTCGAAATGGATCTCGATTAAGATGGATCGGCAAAATGATGGCGGGTTAAATTTTCACGAAAATCATGCTTGATGCATCTGTTTCGTGATATCAATTATTCATGCACCGGTGTCGCCTTCGCCGCATGATACAACAGCGCGAAGGATTGTGGAATTCTGTTTACAATTTGCTCATCTCCGTTTTTACATATTTATAAAACTTTATTCTAGAAGAAATCTTTTGTGCGCGCGAAAGAAAAACGTTTAATATCAACGTAATAATATGCATAATATATAAATAAAATACAAAACAAATATTAAGTAAAGAATAGACGTTATTTATATTAAAGAATATATCTATATAATATATTAAAAATATATTTAGCGATCACATTAGAAAAATACATAAATAATGAAATATATAATATCCTCTTTTCTTCTAATTTTGTTATAATACGTTTTTTATGTCTCGTCAACAAAAGATGATCCCCAACGGATATCCCCCTAAAAGACACCTCGAAGAAAACGTTTAGCGGTCGCTTCCAAAATTTTGAGCAGGCGACGACGTATCAAACATTCATGTAAATCACGGCGACTGACGTATCCATTTCGTGGTTTCAATTATTTACGCGGCAATGTCGGTGCCAGTTTCGAGTTCTTTCTATAGCGTGGCAACCGGCACACAGCACGGTGTGTGCGTATCGATCTTGTCTCGTGTTTCTATCAAGCCGTGCGACGTGAGCGTTTATTTCGGGATGGATGTTCTCCGCTCGCGCGCCCGAAAAACGAGAATAATGAAGAAACGTGATTGCCGACAGTCTCGTAATCGGATATCCATGTGCCACGAATAACGTAGAAATCCGAATGATCTCATAGTTTGTTTCTAGAGAGGCAAGTTAGAGACATGGTGGACATTTCAACGATATTATGATACTGGTCGATAAATATATGTATCTAGATTGCTTTTTATATCGAGATAGAATGCTTATAATATGATATCTTTTATAAATATGCATTTCATCGACGATTATTTTGTGACTTTTATTAAAGATGCTTTACATCATATTAATATATTTTTTTATCATCACATGTAGGAATATTTATAATTTATTTATTTGAAGCATCTGCTGTATGTGATTAATAAAACATAAAAGCGATTTTATTGGGACATATTAATATTTATCAGATTTATAAATATGAGCTATAAAAAAATATAGCTTTACGATTTCTAAATTATTTTATAAAAAATATTATAAATATTTTATATTTACATAGCTCTCAATACATTATGCGAAAATTCATATAATATTAATTGTTTATACAACGGCTGCAACATGTATCAGAAGTGGCAAATGGTGGTTCAATGATATTTTGTTAAACAAAACACAATTACAATAAATTTATAAAACCATCAAATCGGTTTTTCAAATATTTCTCTGAAAAACAAGCTTTTGCGTGCATATTATTTAATTCCCGTATCATGTACATACATGATATTAAAATTTAATATTAAAAATTTAATATTTTAAAATAAATTTGTATACACTTTAATATTACTTTGTTTCTCTATTTTGCCTTACATCACTTTCGATACGGTAATCAATAAAGCAAATGGCAAATGGTAAATTGATGATGAAAGCCTGATGCTCAAGTCGAGGCTTTTACGAGTCGCTCGTAAAGTATAGTAGCATCATATGTTTCATCAGCGCTAAATTGTTTCTCCGTGCAACTTCGGTTGCAGTATCACCGTAATTGCAAGCGAAGATGAAATCGCACATCATCGCATTTTACGGAATTTTTTTTAATAGACGGGCGTTATGCGGAGCTAATTTAACGGCGCGTTTTACGTCGCATCCAGAAACGCGTGTTCCGTCCTCGTATTCCCGCGACATGGCCGAACGTGAGTCGCATAATTGTGCAATGAAGGACGGCCACATCGAGAAGGCGAAAAAGGAGGCACACCTCGGTGTGTGGATGATTTTTTTTGCTGTTCTTTTTTTTCACCATGGACCGAGTGTAACCGGACGTTGGTGTCAGTCGTTATTGCGCGGCCGGGTTTTTTTGAAAAATTTGTGGTACGTCGTTGCAACAGCAAATAAGTACCGGGAACTGCGAGATGAAAAGTACCAGCGGAATGAGATGTGGCACGTAGAAACCGTATTAATCCACGCAATGCGCGTATATAGATGATTATTTCTTAAATAGGTTTGAAAATCTTAATCTTTTCTTTTCAAATCTTTATATATAAAAAAACAAATTTTTTTGAAATGGAAAGCTTAAAATTTTTAAAAATAATCAGGTACTTAGATTTTTTATAAATAAAAACCGAATAATAAAAGTGTTAGATCTGAAATGTATTTAATTATTTTATTCTCCGAAAAAGAGAAAGAAATATTATAATAAATCTATGATTGTATTATTTATAATGTATGTAATAAATAAATGTATTAATAATTTTTTATTTGTAAGGAATAATTTTTACTGTTAAAATCGTATATTTTGAAAGAGGCAACTATCTAACCAATTATATAATCTTTAGTTACGTTAAAAATATTTATAAAATATAATGTAAAAAAAATAGTTATTCCACCAATTATTCCACGCTTGTCCTTATAATAAATTACACGATGATCTTGCTGTCATTTGCACGATGATGTTTTGAGCAAGAAGTATCAACGCGAATCGCTCTGTGTCGCATTATGTATCTTTCAAAATACGTTTAATCTATCTAATTATTACAGTCAGCAATGATTATTTCACATAATTAAATAATTTTCTATGATAAATAACATATGAATTATCATACCGATAGTTATTTGCCTATACAATGATAAATGTAATATAATCTGATTATTATATATGAATAATACATTTATTTCACAAATTTTCTATTTTGAAATTTATCGTGCAAAATTAAATTTTGATTATATATCTTCAAAGATCACGTCTTAATTAACTATTATTCAATTAACATTATATATTAGAATGAAATCAGCAATGCCATAAAATGTCGCAAAATATAGATCAATTATGAACTATGTTGTAACACGTTTACATAAATATCTAATCACGTAATTTAATATTTGCAACATAATAAAGTGTGCGTTGCGTGTTATTAATGCCGAGAATGTAAAATGTTGCACAAAATGCTGCACGTGATCTCGTGTAGATTAGTGCGCGGACAATCGTAATTAATTATGATTTTGCGAGCGAGTACTTTCGCGTGTATGTACCCTAAGAAACAGCCCAGGAGGTACAGGATGTACAGTACGTGTGTATATGTGTAAGTGTGTGCGTAAACGTATACTTAGATATATTTACGTAAATAAATTAAAAACAAGTCAATATGTAATTCATAATAAATATATAGTGCATTTATCATTTAACAAACATATATATATATATATATATATATATATATATATTTATATTTATACATTTATATTTTTATTTTATATCCAACAATAACATTTATAGTAACATTATGTGGCTACTTTCTTGTAAAGATAAGCAATGTTCAACTACATCAAGCAAATTCGCAAAAAAATGAAAAATTTGATGCATGTAGTCATAAATATTTGTAAATACAGAAGCATCGCATAGTAATACATCTAAATAAACAATAATTAAAGCAGTAAAAGAAATAGTACGTACAATATAAAAAAATTATTTATATGAAATATATCCTCGCATGCAAAAAGATGCAATTTTTTAATTCCACTAAAAGTAAAACCAATCATAATACAGCTCTATCTGTCTTTTGATTTGATTGTTGCGAATTGTTATCTTGCTTTCAATTTTGTCCAAATTCTTCTCTAGGAAATCCTAATAAATACAAACAAAGATTTTTATAATGAAATCAATATCTTGTTTACATAATAAACAAAACAGACACAAAATTAATATTTAGAATTTAATAAAGAAGAAAAAAAAATATTTTTTTTCTTTCGCTTTCCATAATAATATTTATTAAATTTACCCTTCCTTTCACTCCATAATTTATATCTGTATTGTTTTTCACCCATTTAACGTATTTGTTTATTTCCTAAAATGTATTATTTTTTAACATTATTAATAAACACCGTTATTATAACATTATCAAAATTATTTAAACATTAAATAATAATAATTAACATTGCATTGTTATCATATTTTGTATACATATATAAACATGTAAAATTTTTACCTGAGTTAGATTTACGGAATATACGTTATTAATCATAATAATTAATGCTATAGGTACATCAATTTGTCTAAAAACGAAAAAATGTATATATAAAACACAATACAATTTTACAAAATATTTATAAAAGTATGTCACATTACTTTGGTTTTACGTAAAAAAAGAAAGCATTTAATATGTTCTTCAAGATAGCTTGATTATTCGCATGCTTCGTAATAATATGTAAGAAACTGTAACGAAAATATTGATATTGTTCTTTAGTATAAGGTTCATATGTTAAATAGTGATTAATTGTATTAGTATCTTCACTGCAAGCCAAGTATTCTAAAAATTTGGCGTCAGATACTTCAACAGACACTGCTTCCCTAATCAATTTGTCGGAATTTATCTTCAAAGCATTACAATATGTCCATTCTTTCCACCATGGCAAAAGTCTATAACATAAAAAAATCAAATTTTCTTGTTAAAAAATAGCATATAGATTTCTTGATCAAATTATTTGAACATTTCAGGCGATATCTACAGGAGAATTTGATTAAGAAAGACTGAAAATATATAACAATATTTACTCGTGTTTTGAAGGATCTTGGAAATGTTGTTTTAATTGATTGTTGGCTTCTCTCTTACAATTGATGTGATTAAGAAGACATGCCCATCTTGCAGCTTCTTGTCGTAAACATATTCTAAGTTCGTCTACATCACCAATTTCTTCATATTTGATTTTTTTAAGTACATAGTTTAATGTATCACTTATTAGTTGCTAAAAATCGTTAAATATATATTTATTTGTTCATATTATAAATGTATTTAATAATAATTATATTTTCTATTATTTTCCAATAGATTCTTAAAATTTTCTCTTTCTATGAAACAAAAATACGAGGACTATTTAAAAAGTTTCCGGCCTTTTTAAGACAAACACATATTTCGAAGCAAAACAAAATTTATTTCTTGATGTAGTCTCCCTGCAACTCGATACATTTGGTCCAACGTTTCTTCCATCCTTTTAAACCGTCAAAAAAATTGATTGTCTAAACCTGAAAATACTGGTTTACAGCGTCTTCCATCTCAGCATTTGATCCATATTTTTTTCCCTCGAGAAATTTTTTCAATTTAGGAAACAGGAAAAAGTCGCTGGAAGCTGGATCTGGCAAATAGTGTGGGTGCGGAAGCTATTCAAACTTCAATTCGTTCAATTTTTACATTGCGACCATGCACGTGTGAACCCGAGCGTTATCCCGACGAAACAGGATTTTTGGAACTTTGGAAGAGTGCCATAGACAAAGTAATGATCAGAATGACTTGAAATTTTATGGTTTACATATATCAAGGTCATCTGTCGGACGGTGAAAGAAATTTTTTTTCTATAATTACTTTATGTCGATGAGGCCGGAAACTTTTCAAATGACCCTCGTACATACAAATTCACTTATAGATGCTATCTCTTTATGTACATATGTACGTGCAAATATATACATATGTATTATATATGTACGCAAAAATATTATTTAATTTGTGCGAAATGTTTATAATATTTGATTGATGTTAAAGTTTTATAACTATTTATCAATTATATTTTATTTTTAAATAAGGTATAAAATATATCTTTTGAGAAATATATAATTAAATTTTACTAACTATATATGTTTTATATTTTTTAAATGACTAACATGTAATATTTATAAAAAGCCTATATAATTGCAATTTATTGACAAATATTTTAAGCACCTTGCTATACATATATCCAATAAAAATGTTATACACCAATAATATTGGCAGTAGTGAAAATCATATACTTTTCGGACAGTTCTTCGGGTGAGTGATTATTCAAACTGAATTTGTTTGCGTATTTATTTACTACGTAATAGTATGTAAATTATCATTGTTGCTAGATATATTTTTCTAAGTTTTTAAATTATTTGTGATCAATGAGTGTATATACAAATATTTAAAACATAATAGTTTCATTGAAAGAGTGATGGCAAATGTAACCCATTTTTGGGACCTTGAACTTTCTTTCATCGCAAATAATACTACTAGATGAAACATTAATCTCAATAAAATGTTAATGTTAGGATAAACATGGTTCCGGAGATATAAAGAAGTGAATGTAATAGTTTCTCATCTTTGACTAGAAATCATATTTGATATAAAAAGAATTTAAAATTTGAGGTCTTAAAATTCGACTTTATAAAATGGGCGAAAAAACAGGTCTTTTTGCCATAACTCTTTGTTAATATTTTACCGCCATATATGCAATTTCTTCTTTCATCACTGGAAAAGTATTACATATATATTCCAGAGCTTTAAACATAGGATACCATGCTATATAATCTTCTTCTTGATATAAATACGATGTGATGTCCCAGAATATAGAGCAATTGAGATGGCCTGCTATCATTAAATTGAACGCATCATCGATAATTTGGGCACGATTAAGAACATGAATATTCTTGTAATTACGAGAATTTAGATAATTTCTAATCCTTTTCCAATTCTCTTTATCATAGTTAACGCGATAATATCCTGTGGAATAATAAATAAATTTTAACAATTTTTATTGTTTTGAATAATTTTATCATTAATTTATCTATTTTTCAACTAATTTCAGTTTTTGTTTCATATTTTTTTATATATAATTTATAAGTTAAAATCGTATCAAAAATTTATTACATGTAAATAAAATGAAATACACATAGAAAATTAATTATAAAAATATCATCCTAATACTTGAAATAGGAGCAAAAAATTAAACTGTGCAAGATATTGTTGTATATCATATATCATAAAATAAAATTGATTTTAGTTGTGCATAACAAATATTTAATGCTAACCAATATATAATTTCGGTAACATGTAACGTTACTTCGGTAACATGTTACGAAAATCGTATGTTACCTGCACTTATTATTATTAATTTTAGAAATATAATTATTGTTTTAATAATTTTTACTATTAGTAGAATAAAATATTTGTAAAAATATAACATTAATATTAATGATGTTATTTAGAAAACGTGTATATATTACACGTATAAACTATGTATATCTTAGAAATAATATATTTAATAATATGATATATATAATGATATTATATGATAGAGATATAATATTAATAATATATATAATGCAGGTTACGTAGTTTGGCAGTTGTGAGGAGATGATGGAAGATGGGATTGAGATGATAGAGAGAGAGAGAAAGAGAGAGAGAAAAAGTCATAAATTACTTATGTAAGTAGGAGTTGAAAGAACTAAACTTTATGGTGAAGAGACCGGTGGACGTGCTGAATATTTGTGATATGGAAGTGGGAGAAGAAGAAAGCGGAAAGGAAACGTGAGGTGCCTTAGAAAGAAAGAAAGGTGGAAAGGAGGGGAGTTTGATTGGAAGAAAGATAAAGAACAAAGAAGAAAAAGAAGGTGAAGAGAGTAAAGTAATATGTGGTGATAGTGAAAAAGAGTGGTCAGGAGGAAGAGAGAAGAGATAGGGGTTAAGAGGTGCGGAGAAGGCGAGGACGGTAAGGAGACGGTAGTGGAGAAAGAGAGAGAGAGAAGAGAAGAGTGAAGAAGAGGTGAGAAAGAAGGAGAAGAAAAGAAGAAGTAGTGAAGAGAAAGAAGAAGAGACAAGAAAGGAAGGAAAACGTATTATGAGAGTCTAAAAAAAGGTGGACGTATTGCGAGGTGGTACACAAACTGATGAAAAAGGAATTAGTAGTATGATGTAGTAAAGAAGGAAAAGAAGAGAGGAGGTATGAATATGGTCGAGAAGTATGGATGTAAGGATGGAAATGAGGAAAGAATAAGTGGTTAAGGAGGATTATATAGAGTTGATGAAGATATCTGGATGGTGGAGAAAGGAAAATGGAGAGGGGTTCACGGGAGGAGAAATAGGTGTTACGAGAGGAACGAGAAAGGATGTAGTGTGGCGGAAGGAGAGGGTATAGTTGGTGGAAAAGAGAGTATAGAAGGGAAGATGGCTAGGAGAGGAACGAAAAAGGAGGTATTGGCAGAAGAAAAGATACGATGGTGAAGTGATCGGTGGAGAAGAAAGAAAGAGAGAACAGGAGGAAGAAAGGAAGCAGTAGAAAAGGAGGAGAAGAAAAAGAAGAAGAAGAAGGTGAAGGAAAAAGGAGAAGAGATGGATGAGAAGGAGGAGGAGGAGGAAGTGGTGGATAAAAAGGATTTTTGGAGAAAAGGTAAATGCTGAAGAGATGTGGAATTGGGATAAATGTGAGCTTGACGATAATGAAGATGTAGGTTAGATGGTGGCTAGAAGAAAGGGTAATAAGAGAGAAATTGGGAAAAAAGCAGAAAAAAAGGATAGGAGAGGAGAGGATCGAGGAGATGAAGAGATTAAAGATATAAAAATGGGAAATAGGGTGGAGTGAAAAGGGAGACGGGACGATTAGAAAGGAAAGGGCGGAAGAGAGTAAAAAGTAGGTTTTGTTTTTGTTAAAAGAATGAAAGGAAAATGGAGATGGAGGTTAAGTTCAAAAAAAAGAGAAAGGAAAGAATAAGAAAATGGCAATTATGTATGTGTAAAATAAGACGAGAAGTAAGATATAACAAGTCCCTCGGTTGATATTTACCAATTTGTTGTATATTGAATATCGTCCAACCGTCCTCATTATATGGAATATATGTATAATATATTGTCAAATTTTCTGTCCCGCATACCATATGATGATAAAATTTGTTAAAATCGAGAAACTCTTGCGTAGTAATAGTTATAGGAAGGCAGTCAATTTTTAATTTGTCAATATTTTGTATGAATACTCTTACTTCGTTTATAGAGGTCTTATAATTTCTTATTATTTTTATGATAGGACAACGATTTTCTGCATCCCAATAATTTATTGTTAATTGATCAATATTTGGTTTCCCTATAACAGCAGCAATTTCTCCCCAAAAATTCGGAATACTTTGACGATGTAATTGGCTAAATTTACACAATATGTAAAATATATAAAAACATTACAGATATGTTAAAATTATCTGTATAATGTAATATTACAAAAAATTTTATAAATACTAAAAAGCAAAATATAAAATTGCACTTCTATTATATATTTAATATCTTATATTTATGTTATGATAATAAAGAATATAACATAATTTTAAATAACATTTAATAATTTTATTAAATTTTTAGGCATTATTAGCATTATATAGATTATATTTAAGCAAAGTATGAGAGAGTTATAAATGATTAAAAAAGAATTAAAACAAATATAAAGTTAAAGACAAAACGAAAAAAAAAAAAAGAAATATAATATAAAGAAGATTGCTTACGACGGACGGAAATAAAAATAGAGAAGTAATAGAAAAGAGATATAAGTGGTACATATTTAAAAATATGTTAATAAGTTATCAAATAAGAGTTTAACAAGGCTCTGTAATATAAATATAAATTAACGTATAAGACGGGCAACAAGAGCCAAATCGCGGATGACAATGCGTTATCCTAACGAAACTAAATAATTTTTCGTTAGAATTAATACCGGTTTTTACTTGGACACGGCCAAGATTTAAATATGAAATAATCTCATATTTGAGATTTTAATTTCAATACCTTTTAACCCCCTACGGAAAATTAAATGAATGCAAGAGAAAAATATAGATCCGAAAATCGCTGAATCGGGAAACGAACCCGAGACCTTTCGCTTGGGGCGACTGCTCTTCCAGCAGCTATTCAGATCTTTCGATTCTATACTTTTCTCTGTTATATATATTAATGTTGGTAAGCATTTTAAGCAGCGTGTATCAATATAAGAGTTTTAACAAGGCTCTGTAATATAAATATAAATTTAACGTATAAGACGGGCAACAAGAGCCAAATCGCGGATGACAATGCGTTATCCTAACGAAACTAAATAATTTTTCGTTAGAATTAAATACCGGTGCACAAGCACCAAATTTTACTTGACAAAGATTTTAAATATGAAAATCTCATATTTGAGATTTAATTTCAAACCCCTTTAACCCCCATACGGAAAATAATAAATGAATGCAAGAGAAAAATATAGATCCGAAATCGCTGAATCGGGAATTCCCGATTCAGCGATTTTCGGATCTATATTTTTCTCTTGCATTCATTTATTTATTTTCCGTAGGGGGGTTAAAAGGGGTATTGAAATTAAATCTCAAATATGAGATTATTTCATATTAAAATCTCCGTGTCCAAGTAAAATTTGGTGCCTTGTGCACCGGTATTAATTCTAACGAAAAAATATTTAGTTCGTTAGGATAACGCATTGTCATCCGCGATTTGGCTCTGTTGCCCGTCTTATACGTTAAATTTATATTATGTTAAATAAGTTTAAAAAACAAATGTAGCACAAAATAATATTAAAAGAAAAGAATTATAAGAAATTGAACGTTACAAAGAAATAAAGCAAAATAAAAGAATAAAATAATTTATAATTATTTTAAAAAGTAACAATTATGAAAAAACATTAAAGGTAATTATGAGATATGGGGAGCTACATTCGATTTCAATGACCTCGACTTATATGTGAAGATCACTCTCCTGAGTAAGTATCAAAAGGTTTTAAGTGTCGCTCATTGTTTATAAAAAAGTTATTAATATGAAAAGTTTACTTAATGAAACTAATATTTGTGACAAATATACATTTAAATGTATTATATGTTTGGACGCGTTATAATTTAACGTAAACGCATCCCATACAGCACAGATTATTGCAATTATATTGCAATGTTGCAAGTTGCAATGCAACATTATAAAGACATTGCAGAGATATAGGTGCACAAAATTCCAGCACACTTGTAGCAACATGACATTAATATTTCGGAAATATTGCATGTAATCCAAATTCTATAATTTATATATTGTAATATATATAAATTAACTACAACGTATTTTCATTAATGATTTATTTACATTTATATACCTGTATATGCAATATTAGTTTATGGTTGCAATAACAATGCATTATTGCAAATTCATAACATTGCAATATTGTTGTAATATTTTGTTGCAATCTTCTAAAAAGCGGACATTTTAACATTGCTGCAATTCAACAGCAATGATGTAGCAACATTTTGCAGTGAATTTGCAATATTGCAATATTGCGGTGAAAGATTGTTGTAATGTTTTTGCAATCTATCGGTGCTGTATGGGCCCAATACAGCACAGATTATTGCAATTATATTGCAGCAACGTTGCAATGTTGCAAGTTGCAATGCAACATTATAAAGACATTGCAGAGATATAGGTGCACAAAATTCCAGCAGACTTGTAGCAACGTAACATTAATATTTCGGAAATATTGCATGTAATCCAAATTCTATAATTTATATATTGTAATATATATACATATACCCAGCAAACACCAAGTTACAGCTATATAATTGTTAGTTGTAATTTCCCACTCAAAAATATAATACGTGTATTATAACAATTATATTGTTGAGTGGACAATTACAACTAACAATTATATAACTGTAACTTGGTATTTGCTGGGTATAATACTGTAATAAAATAATTTTTGCAATCTTCCAAAAAGCGGACATTTTAACATTACTGCAATTCAACAGCAATGATGTAGCAACATTTTGCAGTGAATTTGCAATATTGCAATATTGCGGTGAAAGATTGTTGTAATGTTTTTGCAATCTATCGGTGCTGTATGGGTGTATATGTATATAAAAAAGTGATAACAAAACAACAATTCTTTCTTTCTCGAGAAACGGTTTTAATAGGAAAAGTAATGAAATTATAAATCTAGTAGCAGAATTAGGAAAATAGCGGAATTGTTATATTAAAAAAAAACATTAGGAAATAATATAAGAATAAGCCAAAAAATAAGGGACATTTTATAAAACTTCTATTATTAAACATTATTCATGTTACACAATTTTATTTTTTTGATATTATATTTTATATTTATATTTTATATTTTATATTGAATTACTCACGTGCTATTTATATATAAGCGAAATCCTTTCCAAAATATTTTTCAGTTAAGGCGTGTTCCATCATGCGCAGTATGAAAGGTGCTACGATTTACATGAAAATTATAATTAAGATATGTTATAAATATATATTTACTGTAATAGTAATTGTAAATATAGTGATTTTTGAAAAAAAGTGATGTATATTTATACTAGGTAATAATCGCGTAAGAGTGAAATGTTTTTTACTGTAAGAGTGTGTGTGTGTGTGTGTGTGTGTGTCGCACAGTTTGTCATTTTATTTTATAAGTAAATTTCTCGTTAATACTTACGAAATAGCAACACTTTAAAGGACCATTCAATTAATTCCCTCTATCTACTATATGTGCGATTATTTCCGGATACTTTGTGTATATATTATTTTATCTTTACTACTTATTGTTTTAGTAATAAATATTGCGAGAAATCGATTTATAATAACATGAAGATAGATCTTTTAAAGAAAAAGAACATATATTACCTTCATAAAATCTTGACAATCAGTCTTTAGGAAAAAGTCATCGTTAATTTGGTTGTCTTTAGGAATCATACAACTTTTAAATAAAACGGTTTTTCTCTAAAATAAATTGTTCAAAAATCCTTGTATGGATATTTTAAATTAAATAGTTTACTCACACACGCACGCACGCACACACACACAAATGTACTCGTGCGTATCCACGCGCACACGCATACACACAGTGACACACATACACAAATTATTTTTAATTCTAAAATATCCACACAAAAATTACTTGAACAATTTATTTTAGAGAAAAACGTTTTAGATAAAAGTTATATGATTCTCCTGAAGACAAGCAAGTAAAGCTACTAAATAATTTATAAGTCGATTTCTCGCAATATATATTATATTATTAAAATAATGTTTTAAGGATAACATTATCAATGTACATTATCAAAACAATAAGTTTTAAGATAGCATAATCATAGAGATAATATTTTCAGGACATTCTATATATTTAACATTATTTTACATAAACGTAAATATCTCTGAAATATTAATTTTTCGTCGATTTTGCCTCAATAATTTTGTATATAAAATAATACAAAAAATTTATATTTTTTCATAAAAAGCCCATTGTTTTTAAAGAAAACTATGTAGCTGCTAGTTACTAATTACATACATACACATATGTATTGTTTATATGTATAAATACTTTAAATATTAATAAATAATATGCATACATACGCACACACGTACATACGTGTGTGTGTGCGTGTGCGTGCGTATGTGCGTGCGCGCGTGCGAGCGTGGAGCGTGCGCGCGTGTGTGTGTATGTGTGCGCGCGCGCGTGTGTGTACTTTTGAAAAAAATATATAATAAAATCCAGATATAGAATTAACTATCTTCTAATTTTACATATATTTTAAAATATTAATAGTAAGCGGACTATTCTATTATATTAGGTATACCTCTGATAGAATTGGAATTTCCAGTGAACTATTAACTTCTGAAGTAGAAGGCCACATATGATAACCATCCAAATTAAAAGAGTAATGTTAATTTTGAACAACAAATAAATTTATTATTCTGTCATCAGGATAAATCTAGAAAAATAATTAATATATTATTGATATAACCATTCTGAAGATACTTGCATGAAATACTGATATTAATATTATTAACGTTACTTCATTGTTAAAATGACCACTTTCTCATTTTATAAAACACACAAAAAAATATAATAATAAAATCTAAAATTTTGTCTTAATATAATTAGCAAATATTACATATTTTTAAATAAAAATATGTTGCAGACATCTTTTTATCAAATTTTTAAAATAAATATTATGTATATTAATTTTTGATTAATTTATTTTATTTTAAATTTCATAAAAATTTAAAATATCTAATAAAATGGTGTTGAAAAATAAAAACTTTTAATAAATTAAATTATAATGTGTAAGTACATATATGACAAATGTATTTTAAAACATTGTTGTTTATTTTATATAATGCTAAATATTTTAAAACAATTCACAAAGAATGTGTACGGATTTTATAAAAAGGGTTTCATTTAAAAATTTTTGCAATATAAATGCATAAGTATATTGTAAAAATGTAAAAGAGAGCGAGATAGCGTTGAAAATATTAAGAATAACCTTATTGACAGCATACGTTGCAAGTAATGTAATAAGTCCTTTAAACCAAGTATTCGACACTAACCGATTGTTCATCATGTTATTAAACCATTGTTGTGTCACTTTATGTCCTACTAATTGAGCTCCTTTGATTTTTTAGCAACAGAATATAAATATTTATTGTACATGATATCTGTTTCCCTGAAAGTTATATTTAAATATTAAGACTTAGAAATCTGTGATCGTACGAAATAATTTTTTAAAATTTTTAATTTACAATAAGAAACAACGTTAAACTTCTGTTAATATGCATCGTTGACAAAGAACAGTAGCTTGAAATAAATACAAAAATGTCATTCTTTTTCTAACTTTAGTGCAGTTTTAACATCTATCTTACGGGGTACGATTTTGCATACATATACTTTCCCCTTTATGTGCGTATTGAAATGGTAAACTTTAACTTTTTAATAATATGAATAAACTTAATTCTACTAAAATTGTTTGTTAACGCAAGTTCTTATAATTTTGAACGTTTACAGAAACAAAATATATACCTATTTTTAAATTTTATAATTATACATTCTAATATAATTTTATTTTTAATGCAATTTTTAAGCATTTATACTCACCTATAAAAAACAAGTCCGAAAAATGTTGTGCCTTTGTCATGGAAATTTGGAATTGCAACATGAGACACCATCGAAATATGATTTGAATGTTTCCATTCATTTTTAAAGAATAATGTGATATTTTCAGCTACATTTTTTGCAAATTCCATGTAAGTTTCAAATCTGCACCACATTTTAATGTTGCGAGTTTCGTTATCAATAGGAATTAGGTAATTAGACACAATCATTGTTGCGTGTTCAGTCCATATTACAGGTGTGGTAATATGGTGATCGTAGTGTCTCCATATCATATTGTGCTCATCTAATTCCGTACTTCGCAATGGCATATTTGACAATGCCGTGCATTCTTTACATATTATGGAAATGTTAAAGGTTGCTTCTAACCATAAATCATGTAGATGCAAACATGGTACTTTTTGAAAAATTTTGTCTATTATCTGGAAATGCTGAGCACTTACCCAACTTTATTTTCAAAAACATAAATTAATGAAACATTTTTGACAAGCATAAAAATATTGCGATTTAGAAAATGTATAAATGTTATATGCGTCAACACATATTATATTTTATGACTCTATTATACATATTATTATAATAATAAATATAAAGATTGTTTGCCTTTAGATTTAAATTCCGCGATATATAATAACTTTTAGACATTTAATACGTAACTAATATATTAATTCCAATGTGTTATGTAATTGCATATTGTACTCTTTCGTATTAATAAACATTTATTATTTACTTACGTAGTTTTTCACGTCAAAAATTCTAAAGACTTTATCAGCAACACCAAAATATTTTATATTTAAGATGTAATTTCCTGGTGATAACTCATCTATAAAGAACATATAAATTGTGTTTTCTTCAGTATTATATGTCGGTTCATAAACGATATCTTTATGATTCTCATGATATCTTTCAAAATTTGTAATTAGAACCACACTCTTAACACATATTTCCGAATGTAAATATATGTGTTGAGTTTTATTAAGAATGTTTATGCTGATATTGTATTCCCCACGGAAAATATTTCTTTCAATATGTGTTATAAGCTTGATATCGTAATGCATTGGTATTACATTTTTGATTTTTGATAGCATACATATTCATTGCGAGTGGAAGCTGTCGCAGCAATAAAAATTAATCCGCTACTTAATAATAGTTTTAGAAATATCATCATGTTGGAGAAAAGGGACATCTATTTTAGATCCGTAAACACTCTGGATAAAAATAAATAAAGAAAATAAAGATAGGTTAGATGTTTTTTGAATGATTTTTGTATATAAAAATGATAAAAACAAAAAATATTAAAATTATTAATTAGGAAACCATCCTAATTATCGAAATATTATATGGTAAGGAAATACTGAAATACATACATAAATACATACATATATACATATATATATATATATATATATATATATATATATTGTTTTGTCCTCGAGACCGATTCGTATAAGTCCCGCACGCACTCTTACTTATTCGCCCGCAAAGAACGTACTCATAAATAAGAGAAATAATATTTAATGATAATGCAATACAAGAAGTATATATTTATTTACATTATAATATACGCAATTTTATGTAATGGAAGCTAGTCTCAGCTGACAGAGGAAATGTCCTCACCGCATGACAGGTGGACCAGAACCAAACGCAACGCTAAATAACAAAGACGCGACGATATTCATAAACAGCCTCTTGACGACGATGTTCGATCCGCGATGTACTTGAATTCAAAGAAGACTCGATATTCGGCGATCAATTCAGGGACATATCAACGAATAGTCGGAACACGAACGTAACAATATATATATAATTTTGTTGACGTTGTGTATCTGATAGAATGCAACGATTGCAATGCAACATATACAGAGCAAACAAAAAACAATTAGCTACACGCGTAAACGAACATTTTCAAAATATTAAACAACATCATAGCAATTTCAACGTAATTGGCAAACATCGTACAAAATATGATCATTATTTAAATGGATGGAACCTAGGATTTTACATTGCGAAAAACACAGAAGAAAAGAGAATTAGCGGAGATGTTTTTATTAAAAATATAAGAATAACATCAATTTACAAAGAGACACAGAAAATCTAAATCCTATTTATGATAAGTTGATTCACAGTATATGATTGTCTATTTATTTATTTATTTATTTATTTATTTATTTATTTATTTATTTATTTATTTATTTATTTTGTTGTATTGTCGAACTTGATATTATTGTGTTTTTAAACGTTTGACTTAAATTGATTTACTTGTCTCCGGTTTAACATTAGTAGTCTTAAAGAAAAATTATCTAACTGCTTATTGCAATTTTCATATTTTTTTTTAAAGGTAACTATGTGTTTTCTTTACATCAACTGATTTATCTCATTATTCTGTGCATAAAAGTATTAAGGTATGATAATCGAAAAATGAATATTTCCCAAGATATTTTGTATTTTATGTCAAAATACTGCAAATTTGCAGCCTTAATAACTCGAAAAATACTTCATGAAAAAATATTTTATTGTAGTGTTTTGGAAAGATCTCGAAGTCAGCTACAAAAGTATGCAAGAAAAATATAGTGTTCCATTTAAGAAATTGAAGTTGACCTTCACGTAACCTTCAAATGGCTATTCAAGGTCAAATCAATGACACCATCTCATGTCCCCCTTGAAACCATACAACTTTTATCTGAAACATTTTTGTCTTAAATTTTTGGATTTTGAGAAATTTTAGTGGAAAGATTAAAATGGCCTACCCTGTAATCTATATATATATATATATATATATATATATATATATACATATACCCGGGTGTCCGATGACTCGCGTTTGACACGTTAATGGGAGATTCCTGAGGCGATTTGGAGACGATTTTTCCTCAGCGAAAATGATGAGAAGGTCATCATATTTTTAAATGTTTCCTAATTTTTTTAATTTGTATATATCTCGTATATATATATTATTATCAGATTTATATATATATAATATATATATATATATATATATAATATATACATATATATGTATTTCTATTTTGCACATATTGTATTGACAGCAATATAGGAATATTAAATTTACAGCACATTTTAATTTTTCTTTAAATAATTAATCTCATTGTCAAACATTATGTACACTTAAAATTTTTAGAACATTAGTTAGAATATAAATACTTATATATAAAGTTAGTTGTCTGAAATAAATTACTTTTATAAACACAAGAGCCGTTATTTGTACATACATATAAACCTGTGTGTACATTCAAAATAAGAAAAAGACAATAGGGATAAGAAAATCTGAGAAGCGGCAAGAGAGGAAGAGAGAGAAAGAAAAAGGTAGAGCACATGTTTATATTATTATGTTCCTTTGAAAGTCTGTTTGACTTCTTCTCTTAAACTGTGTTTATAAACACTAAATAAACATTTACCGAGAATTTAGCAAACATAAATCAATTTTAAATTATATTAATTATAAACCTGATAATAAATATTATATAGATAAATACAAAATGTCCCAGAACTAGTAGTAAACCTTTCGGCATTTTCGGCATTTTCGAGGAGGAATAATCGACTCTAAATATCTACTATTAACAGGTGTATTACTATTTCTAGATATTCTGTATATAAGAGGATATTTTTCAAATATTTCAGATTAAACATTTCAAAATAAATGTGTTAACGACTACTTCAAATCTAGAATATTATGAATTTCTACATTTGATTGACAATTCTTCTTTCTTGTTACAGTTATTTTCTACTCAATGTCAGTACAACTTCAAAATAATTTTACATATTAAAGTATTTTTAAATTTCAGAAATAATTCATTTGATATCAAACTTTTGTGAGTCTGCGATTATTTCAACATTACGATTCAAAAACTTTATAATATATCGTCTTTATTTGAAATTATCTTTGGATTAAACTGTATGATAAAATTTTTTTTGTATTTGTAGACAAATATATTTTTTATATTTTAGAATTATGTTGACTTACCCAATATTTTGAAGCAGAATGTTAATTGGAAATTACGTTAAAGAAATTATATTTTTTCTTTAAATTAATTGCAGCAAACTAATGTTTAAGCAATATGCGCAATGTTAAAGGGATGTATATTCACACACACTTTATTACAATCACTATGTATACCACGATATGGTTCGAAAGACCACGAAAGGCCGACTGATTCTCTGTACGTGCCATCGTGCGATAAATATGATACGTTAAGACAACAAAACTTCTGAGGTCGATATATACACATATATAAATATATATGTGTTGTGTGTGTGGTGTGTGTGTGTGTTTGCGTGCAAGCGTGCGTGCGCACGTGCATATATGTGTGCGCGCTTAAACATATAATTTATTAATTAACGTAAAAAAAAATCAAAAACAAAGCAATATATAATTCAAAATAAATAGATAATACATTTAGGTGCACTTATCATTTAACAAGCATATTTATTTATTTATTTTATTTTATATATCTACACAATTATATTATTATATATATATAACAGTAAATTTATTGTAATATTATATGGCTATTTTCTTGTGACTATACAGGTAATAATATACATATAGGTATATATATTAACTACTTCAAGCAAGTTTGCAAAATTTTAAAAACTTAAGACACGCAAACATATAGTTTTAATAAATACAGAGGCATCGAATAGTAACTCATCTATATAAACACTAATTAAAAGCTGTAAAAAAATAGTACATACAATAAAACAATTATTCATATAAAGATCGTCACGCATGCAAAGCTGCCACTTTTTTATTCCCACTTCTTATAACACAATACTTTTACAATATTGTAACTGTCTGTTGATTTGATTGTTGCGAATTAATATCTTTCTTTTAATTTTGTCAAAATTCTGCATTATGAAATCCTAATATATAAGCTAAGCTTTGCACAATGAAATCAATATACCGTTTATATAATAAACAAGAAATTTAATATTCAGAAATTAATAAGATAAAACAATATACTTTTTACTTTCCATAATAATATTTATTAAATTTATCTTTTCCATGTGATACCTGACTAATAAATATTCTGTGATGAACAATCCAGCAACTATGTGTGTATTAACCATCAACCTTACGCATTCCTTTATTTGCTCAATGTATTATATATTTAACGTATAATAACGTGGTGTAACTTTATACAATTATTTTAAACAATATATAATAATTGTTAATATTGCATTATCATTTTGTATACATATATAAACATGTGAAGTTTTTTATTTGAATTAGATTTACGGGATATAAGTTATTAATAATAACAATGAATGCTGCAAGTATAATAACATGACTAAAAACGATAAAACAGATGTATATAATACACATAATAAACTTTTGTACAAAATATTTTCAATAATATGTCGCATAACTTTGGTCTACTGATCGTAAAATCTTCTAATATGTAGTTCAAGACAGTTTAATCCTTCACATGCGTCGTAATAATATGTAAGAAACGATTAAGAAGATATTGGTTTTCTTGTTCATAAATAGAGCTATATTTTAAATAAAATTAAATTATATCAGTATCTTCAGTGCAAGCCAAGTTTTTTTAAAATTTAGAATCTAAATCTCTATATCCTATAGCATACATTGACTCCCAATTCTATGCGAACTTTATCATCAAACCTTACAATATGTCCATTCCTTCCACCATGGCAAAAGTCTGAAATAAAAAAAAATTAAATTTTTTAATTCAAAATTAGCATATGGATTTCTTGATCAAATTATTTGAACATTATAGATGATTCCTACAAGAGAATTTGATTAAGAAAAGTTAAAAATATGTAACAATATTTACTTGTTTGTTGTCTAGTATCGTAATTAGCTGTAATTATTACATTTAATGATTATTGAACTTGTGATAATATAATCGACGCGAAACTGTATTATAATTATAAATTTTTGTCAAAACGCAATTATACATTATTGGAAGTATAAATAGGGGTTACAAGAATATAAATAAAAACTTTCAAGATCATATATCGACATGATTTAAATACGCAAAAACTAAATATCTAAGAGAAGCAGGTATATATCGAAAAATTGTAAAAGAAACATTAATTTAGACATAAATTAATGTTTCTTTTACAATTTTTTGATCATATAGATTTTTACGAATATTAATTACTTTTTTAATAATGTTTCCAGTGAGAAATGATGGTCGAATCGATGCTGACTCGTTGTTGAATCGATGTCAAATTCGTCGAATCAATGTCGAATCGATGACGATTCGACCAATCATTTCTCACTAGGTTTAAAATCAAATTTAATGTCTGATAAAATTTAAGTTTTTTTAAATTGCGAATATAAATTAATTATAATATCAACAATTGCTTTATTACTATATTTCATTATTTTTATTTTTTGATTCTATATGTGTAATTGTATCATGTTACAAATAATATATGTTTATAATAGTTTAAGAATTTTTATTTTTTACATAAATTATAAATTGTTTACAAACACATACATTTTCTAATTTTAGTAATATATCTAAATAAAGAATAATAATTAAAGCAGTAAAATAAATAATGCATACAATATAAAAAAATTATTTATATGAAGTATATCCCTGCATATAAAGCTGCAATTTTTCTAATTCCGCTGGTAGAAAAACCTATTATAATACTGCTTCTGTCTTTCGATTTGATAGTTGCGAAACGATATCTTGCTTTCAACTTTATCAGACTTCAGAATTATGGAATCCTAATATATATAAAAAAATTTACACATTAAAATCAATATACTGATAATATAATAAACAAAACAATATAAAATTAATAATCAGAATTTAATAAGAGAGATAGAACAATACTTCTTTTTCTTTCGCTTTCCATAATAATATTTATTTTTACCTTTTCTTTTATTTCCTCAATTGATAAGATTGTGTGCGTGGAACTTGAACCTTATAACGTATTCCTTTATTTCCTAAAATGTATTAGTTTTAACATTATTAATAAATAACATTATTATAACATTATCAAAATTATTTAAACATTAAATAATAATTATTAACATTGCATTATTATCACATTTTGTATACATACATCGTATATAAATATGTAAAATCTGTACCTCAGTTAGATTTACGGAATATACGTTATTAATAATAATAATTAATGCTGCAGTTACATCAACATGTCTAAAAACGAAAAAACAAATCTATATATAAAACACAATATATTTTTACAAAATATTTATAAAAATATGTCACGTTACTTTGGTCTTATGTTTAAAAAAATGTCATTTAATATGTCCATCAGGATATTTTGATTCTTCGCATGCTTCGTAATAATATGTAAGAAACTGTTAAAAAGATATTGATTTTCTAATTTAGAAAAAAGTTTATATGTTAAATAGTTTTTAATTATATCAGTATCTTCACTGCAAGCCAAGTATTCTAAAAATTTAGTGTCAAATTTTTCAAATCCTGTAGCATACACTAATTCCCAAGTCTTTTTGTTGGTATTTATCATCAAACCTTTACAATATGTCCATTCCTTCCACCATGGCAAAAGTCTGAAATAAAATAAAATAAAATTTTTTTATTAATAATTAGTATATGGATCTCTTGATCAAATCATTTGAACATTATAGAGGATACCTACAAGAAAAGACAACCTCACACAAGTGAGCAATTGTCAATCCGCACGTGATACACATACTATTTTGTATTACAAGTGCAGGCAAAGTGGCTTTGTGCGCGTTTTCTGTGCGCGAGGTGGCCGATTGCACGCCGCCATCTTGATGTTTTGAGCAAGAAGTATCAACGCGAATCGCTCTGTGTCGCATTATGTATTTTTCAAAATACGATTAATCTATCTAATTATTACAGTCAGCAATGATTATTTCACATAATTAAATAGTTTTCTATGATAAATAACATATGAATTATCATACCGATAGTTATTTGCCTATACAATGATAAACGTAATATAATCTGATTTTATATATAAATAATACATTTATTTCACAAATTCTTTATTTTGAGATTTATCGTGCCAAATTTAAATTTTGATTATATATCTTCAAAGATCACGTCTTAATTAACTATTATTCAAATAACATTATATATTAGAATGAAATCATCAGCAATGCCATAAAATGTAGCAAAATATAAATCAATTATGAACTATGTTGTAACATGTTTACATAAATATCTAATCACGTATTTAATATATTTGCAACATAATAAGTGTGCGTTGCGTGTTATTAATGCCGAGAATGTAAAATGTTGGCGCAAAAAGCTGCACGTGATCTCGTGCAGATTAGTGCGCCAACAATCGTAATTAATTATGATTTTGTGAGTGAGTACTTTCGCGTGTATGTACCCTAAGGAACAGCCCAGGAGGTACAGGATGTACAGTACGTGTGTATGTGTGTGAGTGTGTGCGTAAACGTATACTTAGATATATTTACGTAATAAATTAAAAATAAATCAATATGTAATTCATAATAAATATATATATAGTGCATTTATCATTAACAAACATATATATATATATATATATATATATATATATATTATTTATATTTATACATTTATATTTTTATTTATATCCAACAATAACATTTATAATAACATTATGTGGCTACTTTCTTGTGAAGATAAGCAATGTTCAACTATATCAAACAAGTTCGCAAAAAATGAAAAATTTGATGCATGTAGTCATAATATTTGTAAATACAAAGGCATTGCATAATAATACATCTAAAACAATAATTAAAGCAGTAAAAGAAATGGTACGTACAATATAAAAAAATAGTCCTATAAAGTATATCCTTGCATGCAAAGATGCAATTTTTTTAATTCAACTAAAAGAAAAACCAACCATAATACTCTATCTGTCTTTTAATTTGATTGTTGCGAATTGTTATCTTGCTTTTAATTTTGTCAAAATTCTTCTTTATGAAATCTTAATAAATACAAACAAAGATTTTTATAATGAAATCAATATAATGTTTACATAATGAACAAAACAGATATAAAATTAATATTCAGAATTTAATAAAGGAGATATTTTTTTTCTTTCGCTTTCCATAATAATATTTATTAAATTTACCCTTCCGTTCACTCCATAAATTATAACTGTATTGTCTTTCATCCATTCAACGTATTTGCTTATTTCCTAAAATGTATTATTTTTTAACATTATTAATAAACACCGTTATTATAACATTATCAAAATTATTTAAACATTAAATAATAATAATTAACATTGCATTGTTATCACATTATGTATACATATATAAACATGTAAAATTTTTACCTGAGTTCGATTTACGGATATACGTTATTAATAATAATAATTAATGCTGCAGGTAATTAATATGTCTAGAAACGAAAAAATGTATATAAAACACAATACATTTTTACAAAATATTTATAAAAGTATGTCATATTACTTTGGTTTTTACGTAAAAAAAAAAGCATTTAATATGTTCTTCAAGATAGCTTGATTATTCGCTTGCTTCGTAATATATGTAAGAAACTGTAACGAACATATTGATATTGTTCTTTAGTATAAGGTTTATATGTTAATAAGGGATTAATTGTATTAGTATCTTCACTGCAAGCTAAGAATTCTAAAAATTTGGCGTCAGATTCTTGAAAATTTCTAAAATAAACACTGCTTCTGTAAATCATCTGCCAGAATTTATCTTCAAAGCATTACATATGTCCATTCCTTTCCACCATGGCAAAAGTCTATAACATAAAAAAATCAAATTTTCTTGTTAAAAATAGCATACGGATTTCTTGATCAAATTATTTGAACCTTTTAGATGATACCTACAGAGAATTTGATTAAGAAAGACTGAAAATATATAACAATATTTACTCGGTTTTTTGAAGAGACTCTGAAAATGTTGTATTAATTGACTGTTGGCTTCCTTCTTACAAGTGATGTCATTAAGAAGACATGCCCATCTTGCAGCTCTTCTTGTCGTAACACATTCTATGTTTCGTCTTCATTATCAAATTCTTCATATTGGATATTACTAAGTACATGGTGTAATATGTCACTTATTGTTTTTCTAAAAATTATTAATATATATTTATTTGTTCATATTATAAATGTTTTTAATATAATTATATTTTTCTATTATTTTCCAATAGATTCTTTAAAATTTTCTTTTTCTATGAACAAAAATACATACAAATGCACTTATAGATGCTATTATTCATGTACATACGTACGTGCAAATATATACATATGTATTATACGTTTACGCAAAAATATGATTTAATTTGTGAGAAATGTTTATAATATTTAATAAATATTAAAGTTTTATAACTATTTGTCAATCATATTTTATTTACAAATAAGGTATAAACTATATCTTTTTGAGAAATATATTTTAAATTTTTCTAACTACATATACGTTTTATATTTTTTTAAATGGCTAACATGTAATATTTATATAAAGCCAATATAATTCCATTTATTGACAAAAGATTTTAAGCACTGCTATACATATATCCAATAAAAATGTTTATACACCAATAATATAGGCAGTAGTGAATATCATATATTTTTCGGACAGTTCTTCGGGTGAGTGATTATTCAACTGAATTTGTTTGCGTATTTATTTACTACGTAATAGTATGTACATATTATCGTTGCTAAATATATTTTTCTAAGTTTTTAAATTATTTGTGATCAATGAGTGTATATACAATATTTAAAACATAATATTTTCATTAAAAGCGTAATGGCAAATGTCGCCAATTTTTGGGACCTTGAATTTTAAACTTTTTTTCATCGCAAA